ACGAGGAAAACATCCTAATTTTTAAAGTTGTGAAACCTTTTAAAGAAACATTTTCAATGTTAAGGATGATTTGTAAGACCTTCAAGAATAATTTCTAATAATTCAAATGAGAAGCTTTGAGTTTTAAATGAGAATCTTGAAAATTTTTTATGTGAATCCCCAGAGTTTTTGAATCAAAATCCTTGAAATCTTGGATGAAATCTAAAATTTTTGAATGAGAACCTTGAAATTTTGATTGTGAATCCCTAGAAAGTTTTTCAAATGTAAATCTTTGAATTTTGTGAATTTTCAATTCTTGTGAACTAAAAAATCTTGCAAATCTAAAATTTTTTGTGAACTAGAAATTTTTTTGAATATGAAATTCTTGTGAATCTCCGATTCTTGTGAATCTAAAATCTTGTTAACCTTTAATTTTTACAAATCTGAAATTTTATAAATAAGAAATTCTTGCGAATCTTCAAATCTTGCGAATTTGAAAATCTTACAATTCTTCAATTCTTGTGAATCTAAAATTTTGTGAACAAAAAATTCTTGCAAATTTTTAAACCTTGAGAATATTTGAATGTGAATATTTGAATTTAAATTTTTTTAAACTCAATTTGCAAATCCTTAAGTTTCAACTTATATTATAAATTTTTTGTTATGAAATTTTGAATGCTTCAAATCATGAAGCTTTGAAGTTTTAAATTTTGTAATTGTTAGGAAGCCGACTTTGGTTCAATCTAGGTCATTTAGATTTCAACCTATGCCAGATCCTTCTCTAGTTTAATCAAGTTACTTATTTCAGACTTTGGTTCAATCCAAGTCATTTTGTTTTAGATTTTGGCCTAGGCCAAATTCTTTTTCGACTCAGTCTAAGTTGTTCATTTCAGACTTCAGTTCAATCTAGATCATTTTATTTTGGATTTTAGCTTATGCTAGATCCTTTTTCAGCTCAGTCCAAGTTGTTCATTTTAGGCTTTGATTCTGTTTAGGTCATTTTATCTTAGATTTCAGCATATGCTAGATCTTTCTTTGACTCAATCTAAGTTATTCATTTTAAACTTCGATTCAGTCCAGGTCATTTTGTTTTGGATTTTGGCTTATATCAGATCTTTTTTCAACTCAATCTAAGTTGTTCATTTCAGGCTTCGATTCTGTCCAAGCCATTTTGTTTTAGATCTTGGCCTATGCCAGATCATTCTTTGACTCGGTCTAAGTTATTCATGTTAGACTTCAGTTCAGTCCAGGTCATTTTGTTTTGGATTTTTTCCTATGCCAAATTCTTCTCTAGTTCAGTCAAGTTACTTATTTCAGACTTCAATTTGATCCAGGTCATTTTGTTTTGGATTTTGGCCTATGTCAGATCTTTCTTTGGTTCTGTCAAAGTTATTTATTTCAAATTTCAGTTTGATCCAAATCATTACGTTTCTAGATTTCGGCTTGCGCCAAGTCCTTTTTCGACTTAGTTCAAGTCATTCATCTTAAATTCTAATCCAATCTGAACTTTTCTATCTTTAGACTTCACATTAGTCTGACTTGTTCTTTTTCTTGAATAAGATCATGATGGGTGTCTACGTCTTTGCATAATCTCTATTTTATAGAAAATATGCAAAGAGGGACAACTGTAGACATCCACTTTTTAAATCAAATTTCTTGGTAGGCTGTAGATAAGGATAATAGAATAAAAAATAAAATAATAAATGAAAACAAAGTTTTATTCCTAATAAAATAGCTAAATAAAAAATTTAAAAATTTAAAAATTTAAAAATGGGATCAATAAAGGGATTTGTTTTTTAAATGGGATAAACATATTAGAGGATAAGGGATTTTTTATTTTCAAAATCACATGCCCAGCCCTATATAAATCATCCAATAATCACAATAGAGACACATAGAAAGGAGAAGGAGAAAATAAAAGGTAATCAGAATAAAAATTTTTTTTCAAAGAAGTTATAGTTTACAATATGAAGTTTTTGATAAATTCATTATTTAGATTGGAGGATGAGCTTTTTTTTTAAATGAATTTTTTTGTATTTTTTTGGGAATTTTCTAGAAATTCTAAAATTAGGTTGAATTTTTCAACGAAAATTCAAAATTTCAGTGACTTTCCAATGAAAAATCCAATTTTCAATGATAAAACCTAGAAATCAATGATTTTTTCGATAACATTCGACGGCAAACAGTGATCGACAATCACCAGGGAAATAAAAAAAAAAGATAAAGAGTGAATAAAACATCTGAAGAAAAAGGAGAATTCTTACCTTTTATACCAACGCAAAATGACACAATTTTGAAAAGTTAAAAAGTGGGTAGGATCCGCATGTTGCCTGAAATCTGACCTGACTCGTTGCACATTAACTTGCCAACGCGTTTCATTCCTCTCTCCTGAGCCGTTGAGCTGAGCCGTACACCAAGTCGCTCTAGCTGAGTTTGTCTCTGAAGCCGCACTCTGTTCGAGCCCAACCAAGCAACACCAAGGTTTTTTTTTTCTTTATTTATCTATTTATTTATTATTATTATTTTGCTTATATATTTATTGATTAAATTGAAATCATTTATTTATTTAATTAAATATTTTTAAATTTTCAATGATTTCCTGAAAATAAAATTTTTTAAAAAAATTTTAAAGAAAAGTTAAAAGTATAAATTTTTCTTAAAAATACAAAATTTGGAAAAAATATTTTTGAGGAAAAGTTAAAATTATCAATATTCCTTAAAAATAAAAAATTTTCAAAAAAGTATTTTTGAAGAAAAGTTGAAAGTATTAATTTTTTTTTAAAATAAAAATTTTTAAAAATATATTTTTTGAGAAAAATTGAAAGTATCAATTTTTTTTGAAATTAAAAATTTCAAGAAAAGTATTTTTGAGGAAAACTTAAAAGTATCAATTTTTTTAAAAAATAATATTTCAATAAAAAATACATTTTTTAGGAAAAGTTGAATGTATCAATTTTTCTTGAAAATAAAAATTTTAAAATGCTTTAAGGAAAAGTTGAAAGTATCAATTTTCCTTGCATAGAAGCATGAATTTTTTTAAAAGTAAAACAAAATAATAAAAAAGATCCCCATGAAAGGTTAAGTATTATTCCTTTTTTTTTTTGAAACTTTTTTAATGTTAAATAATCGACGACGGAGCTCATGCAAAAAAAATAGTAGTTTCTTATATACTCCTGAAATGAAAAAAAATTTTAAATTTTTTATCAAAAGAATTAGAGTTAATTAAGAATAATTTTCAATAATTAATTACTCGATAAAATTTTTAAAGCTTAAGGGATAACACGAAATTACGCTGGTACCATCTTTGGATGGGTGTTATGCGGATACTATAACATTCCTCACACGTAATCGCACTCTCAGACCTAATTTTAGTTTCGTAAATATTGAATTGACCTTTTAAAGATATTTGAGTTAAACTTAAGGTTTCTTTTTATAAATGGACAAATTCGGTTGATGGTCAATTACACTTAAAAAAAAATATTGGTGACGACTTTTAAGTGAATGTCTACCGATAGGTCCACGGACATAGGCGTTATGACACTTATAACTTGCTTTACTCAATGCCATTGAGCACGTTTCTGAATTTGGAAACTCAAAAGAACAGGTTTGCTCCCTTAACATTTGTTGTCATAATTCCTTCAAGAACTCCCACAATCAAGCACATTCATTGAGCAAACCCTTGCAATTCCAACTGCTATCTTTAACCAGGTATAATTTAAATCTATCAAGAAAATTAACACTTGTACCCTCAATGAAGTTTTTGCTGCTGCAACTCTAATACCAGCTTAAACTGCAAAGACTTTAAAACCATAACAAAATGGCAGGATATTCATCCTAAAACTGAAAAGGTTCCAGTTGGGCCTCGGCTAGTGAGAAAGCCAGATATCCTGAAATATACTTATGTTGGAAATCTGTCCATCATAAGGAACCCAGCTGCCTCAATGTAGCTTGACTCAAGGAAGCCTAAAGCAGAAACAACAGGAACCTTGGATTTCATTACCATGCCTAGTAGGCTTGTTCAGCCATTGGCCCCTAAAGTTTAGGAACCTTTACAGCTTACCAAATTTAAGAGCTTGCAGATTTTACTCATACAACAAATGAAAAGCACATTGTTATTATTATTTTTTTTTCCTTTTAAGTTTATTTCGGAAGAACATTGAACCCCAGGAAAACAAAAAAGCCTGCAATTGATTTGACAATGATTGGAAGTGCTCTTCACAAGTATATCATAACGACATAAATTTAAACCAACTTATTCTTTTACACACTCTCTTCTATGGCTGGTTGACAGAAACAATTGAGGTCCAATGCTCCCATCTTTCATTAAATTGCTAAGAGGGTTTGGATTAGCTTTGAAAGTTTTTTTGAATCCCAAAATGATGGAAGGAAACGATCCAACTGTTCGATTGAAGTAAGCAATATAATCAATCCGCAATTTAATGAATTAGATTGACATCATTTTGGCTCAAAGTTTTTGCTAAAGGATGGTTACGTCAAATGCAAGATGTGTCCAAGCAAATCAGTGTCAGACACCACTTAAATTCACATCCATGATGCAAAAAATGTTCCATCGAGTACGGGGTATCATTCCTTAACCAGTGGCTCAAATTTGTCATCTCCTAAGCACAAGCTTTAGGCATAGGTTTAGCACTTTATCGTTGTGGATTACCCTCTAATGGCTGTCATTTTGTCCTAAAAAAATCCCAGGTTATATGTCAAATATCAAAGACTCAAATCAGTCCATTCTTCAAAGAAAAATCACAACCTATGGCTGTCAAAATGAAGGTCGCTGGCAATTGTGAGTCTTTCATTTTATCATCATCCCTAACTGTTTCTTGCATTCAGCAAAAACCGAGGTGGCAATTCTATACTGAGCCATGGCTCAATATGGTGCAAGCGTCGTGGTGCCAATAGACCTGAAGAAAAAGCCATGGGAACAGAAACATCCCCTCCACAATCGGTGGCACCCCGACATACCCGCTGTTGCAGAGGTTAAGGTTGGAGAGGTTTTCAGAGTTGAAATGATGGATTTTAGTGGCGGTGGAATTACAAATGACTACTCTATTGATGATGTCAAGCATGCTGATAACTCTATTGTGAGTTCTAGTTCGATCTTCTTCCAGTTTCTTTTTTCAACTTCTACTCCAGGTGTTTAAAAGCAAATACCTCAATGAAAATGTCAGGCACAAATTTTTTCTGCTAGAACATAGAATTTTTCCTATATAGCTTCTTAAATATTTTCAAGTAAACAATTTTCATTGTTTCCAGTTAGCAATTTTATCTGCAATCACTTGCTTGTCTTTTTGTAAAAAATATATGTAAATTCAAGCTCTGTTGCTTAGCAAGCGAACCTTGGTATCTCCGTAAAAACAAAATGGAACATTGCAAAAATGGTCACTCCCCATTTGTCAGCAAGTAGTAGTATTGTTTAAGAGTCGAAACTTCCTTCAATGGGTGACATTTGCCTTAGACTAACAATTCTGCAACTAATATCTCCACGATCTCCTTGTTTTTCCCTCCACTTAATCCATGGCTCCTCCAACTCCAAGACTAGTGGTGCCAATAGACTTGAAGAAGAAGCCATGGGAACAACCTATACCTCTTCACAACCGTTGGCACCCTGAAATACCCTCGGTTGCCGATGTTAAAGTCGGTGAGGTCTTTAGAGCAGAGATGGTAGACTGCACTGGAGGTATCATAAAAGATGATGATTCTGCAACTGATGTAAAATTTATAGACGGTTCCACCGTGAGTACATGAAACTCTTTTGTTAAATGTAGCTAGAGAACACGTCTAGCAAAGGAAATGTAAGATCAATAGATCATTTCTGTCAGAGAAATTAATTGAATAGAATCATCTTTGAAATCTGTTTGTTATATGCTTAAACATCACATAAATGACACAGGTTCATTATCTCAGTGGGCCGATGAGAGTTCTAGACAACGATGGCATACCTGCCAAGCCTGGTGATCTTCTTGCAGTGGAAATTTGTAACCTGGGTCCTCTGCCAGGGGATGAATGGGGTTTTACAGCCACGTTTGACAGAGAAAATGGTGGGGGCTTTTTGACAGACCATTTTCCATGTGCAGCCAAAGCTATTTGGAATTTTGAAGGAATTTATGCCTACTCTCCTCATATACCGGGTGAATTTTCCATCTATTCCCTATGTTAAAACTAGTTATAAGCGTTTAAACAATTCCCTTGTGTTTCTATTATCATGCCTGCCTAAAGATTGAAAATTAAATGATCCAGCTGAATCTGCTTACAAAGGTTTATATGCATAGCAGGGGTGAGATTTCCTGGTTTGACTCATCCTGGAGTAATTGGGACTGCACCATCAATGGAACTTCTGAATATATGGAATGAAAGAGAAAGAGAAGTAGAAGAAAATGGCCATAAGTCCCTAAAGCTATGTGAAGTTTTGCACTCACGACCATTGGCAAACCTTCCATCAACCAAAGGCTGCCATTTGGGGAAGGTAAGTTTACATCAACTTCCTTGACCAATACTTCAATGTCTTGCCGACTAAAGCTGAGTTCGAGATTTCACCGGAATTAGTAGACCATAATGTAATTATTTAGCTGCAATTTCCAGCCAGGAGACTTCTTAATAGTAGAGTGATTAAATGCTAACATGTAACATAATCGCCAATGTGCAGATAAAAAAGGGAACCGCTGAATGGGAAAAGATTGCCAAGGAGGCGGCAAGGACTATTTCAGGAAGAGAAAATGGAGGAAATTGTGACATCAAAAACCTTAGTAGAGGTTCAAAAATATATCTTCCAGTGTTTGTAGAAGGAGCAAATCTTAGCACCGGTGACATGCATTTTTCTCAAGGTGATGGTGAAGTCGCCTTCTGCGGAGCAATTGAGATGAGTGGTTTTCTAGAGCTCAAGTGAGTTTCAGGCCTCGTATTTTTCACATTTACTATATTTATGCTAGGAATCCACTTCAGGCTCCTCTTAAACAATTTAGACAAAAATGGACAGTAATCCAGTAGAAAATCTCCCTGATAAAATTATTGGACTTTCTCATATATTAAATTGTTTGCCTATTTGTTGTCTGTTTGATAGGTGTGAAATCATAAGAGGTGGAATGAAAGAGTACCTGACTCCAATGGGGCCTACACCACTTCATGTAAACCCAATCTTCGAGATTGGCCCGGTTGAACCCAGATTCTCAGAATGGTTGGTATTTGAGGGAATAAGCGTGGATGAGAGTGGAAGGCAACATTTCCTTGATGCAAGTGTTGCATATAAACGTGCAGTGCTCAATGCTATTGACTACCTCTCTAAGTTCGGGTACTCCAAAGAACAGGTCTGTTCCTCAATTCTGACACTATAAAAACTCAAGGACACATTTCTACACAAAAAGAAATAGCATATAGTTAAGTTATTACTGATCCAGAAGAAACAATGGTGACCATCAGATCTACCTTCTGTTATCCTGCTGCCCCTGTGAAGGAAGAATATCCGGAATTGTGGATTCACCGAATGCCGTTGCAACTCTTGCAATTCCAACTGCTATCTTTGACCAGGTATGCTTTCTCCAGTAAATTAACACATATTATTGTCACTCCAGTTTTGCCAGTCTCCTAAAACTCTACCAACTCGTTAACTTTCCTTGCTTCAACTAAGAGACAGTGGCATATTTGCAGGACATTCGTCCAAAAACTGAAAAGGCGCCAGTAGGGCCTCGGGTAGTGAGAAAACCAGATGTGTTAAGATGCACTTACGATGGAAATCTTCCCACAACAAAGAATCCAGCTGCCTTGATGTAACTAAAGTCCATGGAGCTAAAAGCAAGAGACTGCAATGTTGTATTACATTTCGACGCCTAGTTGGGCTTTATGCATTTGGAAACAATTATGGATGGAAAAACAGTAATGTGACAGAATAAACTCCAATTCCTGTCTCAGTGAAAAACTGTTACAATCACTGGCCAAGGTCATATCCTTAAGAGAATGTTGTATGTTATAAGAACAATTCTGCATACTCCCCTCTGGCCAACAACACCGACAATGCAATTACACGTATGTTGGATAGATGATAGTGACACTTGACCCCATTCAAAGAACCAGCCCAATCATCTATGGACTGGCATAAAAGAGCAAGCAATATATAAACACACACACATCGAAACAAAATGCTTGCTTTTAGCTGGTAAACAGATGCATTTATAAGGAACTATTTCCTTCAGAAAATAAAGCATGAGACTGATTTTTTTTTTTTCATTAGATCTTTCACTAGATTTTAAATCAACTGGACAGTTGAATTAGAAAACTGTGATCCTTGAAACAAGTAACACATAAAAGGATGTCATTGACTAACATGAAACTTATACTAAGTTACCTTGGACATTCCAAGCCAAAATTTTCTTGTTCTATTGCTTACAAGCATATAACAGGTAGGCTACTAGGACTATGATCTACTCAGTAATATATTGACAGTGTTCGATGATGTTGGAGCGATGGGCATTGGACACCAACAGACCAGAGCCAAAGATCTAACTCCACACTCAGAACCTGTAAATGGGGAAAAAGAGCAAAAAAGAAAATGTTGCATAATTACCAAGAGGACGAAAAAGAAAAAAACTGAGGAAGTGCAAAAGACTAATATCACCTAAGTTGGCCCCTGCTTCAACTGCAAAGGAATATAGAATAAAGAAGTATAACATAAACACCGTCAAAACATCCTCATCATAACCTGTTATTTCTGTTTGATACAATCCAGATGAAAGATTGTTCTTGCAGCTAAAATTGCAGATGAAGACCCAGTAATGGACTAACTTATTCCAAAGTCATGGCATGCCAGCTTTAGGCAGGCCAATCACTAGGCCATACGTCAAACTTCCAAGGACTTCCTCACCAAAGGAATATATATTAACTTGAAATCAATTTCTTCCAACAAAAATAATTGAAATGATGACACCACAAGATTAATTTAAGGACATGGAAACCTTTAGTAAGAGAGTTTACACACATGTAACTCATAAACCATCATTAAGAACTAGTGTACATACATGTTTAAGGAATGGGTGACACAATATTTTGATGGAAATCTGAAAACCAATAAAGAGGAAAAGAAAAAACGTCCATGCATGTGAGATTCAAAATTGCTTCACACAATTGAAGTAAAAATACATAAAATAGTTCTGCCCTACCTGCTTTCCTGATTTTATGCTCAATAACTCTCTCATTTTCTCCACAGCATAAATAGAGCAAGCTCGTAGTTCAACTTCCTCTTCAGTGCCAGCACCTATTTCGCTGCTAGCCTCAATAATGCTTGCAAGGGTAGAACTATATTTCAGTACACCAAGCTGCTGGAGTACAGCTGGAACAATATAGTCAGCAAACATAGTGATTGAGCTAATGTCATTAAATTCTCCATATCCTTGGCCCTTGAATGCACCCCACAAGTCAGAAGCAAATATCTGTGCTCTTTTATAGAAGAATACCTGGTGGCCTTTGTACACTGAGTGATCTCGAAAGCCTACAATATTTTAGTCATGCAAGGAGTAAATGTTTCAATTCTTTGGCATGATAAATTTTCGCTTGAAGTATATCTACATGCTTCAAATATTATTGTTACAATTATTATTATATAGGACAACATAACAAAAAACCAGATGAAAAATGTACCCGGAAAATGACGTGTAATGAGAGAAACAAGCTTCACAGCTGATTTTCCACATGATTCAACAAGTTTGGATGCCATACCCTCAAAGCTTCTTTCCAGTTCAAACCCAACCTAAACCGTGAAATTTGTGAAATCCAACAACTTATTTTCTTATTACACTAGAGAATTTCATGAAAGAAAAAGTAGATAAAGATGGAGAAACTAGGCAATACCGTCCATGTTATCTATGAAATTCGAACACTAAGAAATTTGAAGATAAATATTTATGAGATGAGAGAAAAACCCCTAGTGATTAGTCAAATATTGGCTAACTCAAATGTCACACAGTGTATAATGAATATTCGACCTCATGCAACAGACGAACCCGCTCCTCCTCTAAAGGAAGTGGTCTAGGCCATTTCAATAATTCACGCAGTTGAGGACCTGAAAACAAAGATCCATCCATCATTTCCTATCAGGTTGAGGAGCTTTCCCCAGTGTGAAGGTTAGAATGGCCAAACACATAAACAATACCATATTCTGTCTCATTTATTACCTAAAATAATTATTAATTAGGAAAACAGGTAAACAGGAGCATTTTCTTTTAATTTCTCTAGAGCACAACATTTCTATGATGACATTACAAGACTGAAAGTTATTCAAGATGAAGCAGAATTACCAGTGTATTTTTGGAGACGATCAGCATCAAATGCAGAGTTGTCATTCAGCAAAGCTTCCTTTAATCCCTTGGCCAAATGATCATAATTTAGATCCTTATCTATTAAGAATACCCAATACAGAATAAAGAAAAATATAAGTTTATAAAACTAAAACTCACTAATGGCAACAAAAATGAATGCACAACCACACTACAAGTTTAATGTGAACAATTAGATACATACATATATATATATATATATATATATCTTTTTAAAGGGCTGTTGTAACAAGCGGTTAGCAACTAACAAATGGTTAACATAAGGTCCTTTTAGATCATGGAAGAGAATTCTTCTTTTGTAACATGAAATGTAACTATGCTACAAAGAAAACTGCCCAGCGGATAAAGTGAAAGTGGTAAAACAAAAAAACACAATGAAACATGAAAACCTATTCATGTGGATTACTGATAAGACCATTAAAATAGATTCTCAATCAATGTCCAATAAAGCATAAACACATAATATAAATTTAACTTCCACTTTTTTCCCAAAATAGGCCATGTAAAGTTTAGAATTCCAATAAAACAATAGTTTACTTTTTCCAAAGACAAATTATAACAAGTCAAAACACTATCATTAATCATTACCCATAAAACTTTTTTTCTTGGTATTTGAGGTGTCTGAATTTGAACCCTAATAACTGAAATTAAGAGTCTAATACTCTCGGACTACACAGTTGATGACCATAATCCATAAAACTAGCACTCAAATATATCAATCAATGGTAATTCAAACAAGTCTCAAACTATTCCCACAAAACAACAAAACAAATGTATAAAAAGAAAACCCAGTAAGGGAATTGATAGTCAAACAATGACATAATAAAAAAACTTACCAGGCCAAAAACAGAAATTCAAGGTATCCAAAACAAAAAGGTACTGAACAGTGAGGGGTCCATTATCAAAGTAATGAATCCCTTCATAATCCCACTCCACTTTCGGAATCGACTCTTTTATTTTCTCCACTACTTTCTCAATCCCTGCACTCCAAGAAAACCACATACATATTCTTTTTAAGAAAAAATAAAAAGGAACACATTTTCTATTAAAAAACTTAACAACAGGCAAAAGAAAAACAGAGGGATAGAGAGAGAAGAACCTGAAGAATCGACAGTAACGTGAGAAGAATTACGAGCCACCCAAGCAGAGCTTTGTCTCACCTCCTCCATAGCCGCTGCGTTTGCAGAAACAGTTTTTTTTTTTTTTTTCTTATCAATTTGTTGCTTGAATAACCCTAAAGAAACCAAGATTTAAAAAAAAAACAAAAAAACAAAAACCAAAAAACCAAAGATATTTTCTTTATATATTGGTCAGTTTTGGAGGTTGGGACAGACAGGCTACCAGGTTTTGTGAACCATTTGTTTTCCTTAATTCGAAGTTTCCCGCTTCTGTTTGTTTCTGTTCTTATGGTGGACTTTAAGTCTTCAACCATATCTTGGTCGAGTTTTTGGTCCTAGAGACAGATGGGTTCGGCATTGGTTTGGCTGGACCAGGAGCTGACCCATTTCACGTGATTGAGTTGGGAAGGGTTCTGTTTCGTCACGTTTTTTACTTTATAAGGGTTAGCTGAAAGGGCAGAAAATGTGAACGGGCTAACCCTTTTTGACAAAACTTGTTCCAGTTTTGCGGATAATGGATTGGTTGGAAATTGGAACGGGTTGTAGGGTTTTAATGTTTAAGCTGTGAAAATTTTAAAAAAAATAAAATGAAGGGAGATTTTTTTTTATTCATGTTAAAATAAATTGCAAGTTTCATAAAAAAATTTACATTAAATTTATAAATTATTATAAAAAAAATTATTAACAACAAAATTCAAATATAAATTTTATAAATGAAATATTAGATTTTATCAATTCAATTAATTCCGTTGACAAATTTTGTGTATTGGACCATTTGGATTTAGTATATCGTGAATGTCAGGAGACAAATCAATGCAAGCCTTACTACAATGAAGTAGACAACTAGACATCAAACCCAATGGTAATGCATCAATTCCTATTCTTTGACCTTTCTGTACACCACGAAATTGGGGGAAAAAATGAGTGCAAGAGAGAAAAAATACATGGGATGCTAATCTTTTTCACATTGAAAGAATAATAAAAAAAAAATAGAAGTGTTGGGGCAATCGATCATCAGATTGAATATTAAGTGTATGTTTTTTTTTTATATAAATCTTATTCAATAAATAAAATAGTGTGAGAATCAGAGCTTCAAAGTTTTAGTTGGGATCAAATCTTCATACTATCGAACTTTTAACTTATTTTAACGAGTTTAAAATGGAATGTAATGTCAGTTCAGACATTGATATTGCATGTTGACATGATTGGTAATTATAATAAAATTTCAAATTATATGTGCAAAAAAATTTTTAGTGGTTGTCTGACTCATGGTCATGAAACTTGGAATGGTGGTGCCCGCCAGCCTTCAATGCTCTATCGGTAACCATTTGGAGAAGTTAGTTTGGCGAGAGAAAAAAAAAAAAAAAAAAACCCATAACATCAATGAGTTTGCTGCATCAAACAAGGTTGTTTTTAAGAAAAAAAATCGTTGAAAAATTTAAAAAAAATATTTTGAACCATATTATTACAAAATAGTTGTTTCAAAGTGAAGGTGTGCTTGCGAAGCAACGAATAGAAAAAATGGCAAAGACGCTGATTACTGATGTTGGGATCGTAAAAAAAAAAGAAAGGCAAAAGGAGGTGCCGTAGTGGATTCTGTCGTTCTAGTTATGGCTTTATGCCCTTGTTATTAGAATAATGACTTTCATTTGTATGCAAGGTATTGTCTTTGAATGACTACTTTTATGAAAAGTTGAAGAAATCATGAATGCAAACCCTAAGCAATAAGCTTTGCGCCTACAAAGTTGAAATCAAGGCACAAATCATATCCAATGCTTAGCAAGTGAGTCAAATGGTTCATTTTTTCTTAGAAATTAAATTACTGTAAAGTTAAAAATCATATCTCTGAAACTTGTAATTTCTTTTCTTTTATTTCCTAGATTTTGGTCTTCCTTTTTATCAAGAAAAATAAAGTGCAAATCCTTCGTATGTTTTCATATAGCTTAGAACATATGAAAAAAAAAAAAGTTTTTCATAATTTGCAATAAAATAAAAGTTTACTATTTCATAAACTCTCTTGATCTCATTCATGTCCTAATTCTAATCCAAAAATTTTAAAATAAAGTCTCATTGGAGATTATTTCTCTAATTATCTTAAAATTACAAGATAAAGAGTATATAATTAATTAATCAATAAAAAACAATAAGTTTGTTTTATAAATTCAATTCATTTTTAGTGCATAAGATGATAGATAGAATAAAATAATAATAATTTTATATTATATTTTATTTGTATTTTAAAAAAAGAGATAAGATTAAAATGATGATTAATCATTATTTTAGTATATGATAATTCAGTTTTCTTAAAGTGAATAAAATTATTTTTAATCAATAAAATTAAATTTACATATTTTATTATATCCATAAAAATTATGCTAATAATTTAAATTGTATAAATTTTAAGAAAAAATAATTTTGATAAATAAAAAAATTATCATATTATAATTTTTACATATATCATATATAAAATAAAATAATATTATTTAATTTAATCTTATATATAATCTTATTTATCAAACACATGCTTTATCGCTAATGTGTTGGGCTTTAATCGGCCGGTCGGTCTAAAAACATTTCTAGCCCAGAGTCCAGTTAATAACGGAGCGTTTTGATTAAGCTAGTAAACGGTGCCGTTTTATTTCGGAAAAGTGGAAAATGGGAGAACAGAAAAAAAAAATGAATAAAATGCTACCAGGCAGCGGCTAAAAGCCTTCCCTCCTTTTCTGTGGAAGCTGTAAATTGCCATAAGGCCCTCGAATTTGATAACAATCTCTCTTCACCACCATCGCCACCGTCTCCTTCTCTCTCACCTCTTCTTCCCTGCTCATCTCTCTCTTCCTTCACCCCTCTCCTTCCTCTGTGGAATGGCTTCCATAACCTCCTCCTCTCCCATCTCTCAACAACAACAAATACAGAAACAAAAACAGAAAAAAGACCCTCGGTTAAGGGAGCTAAAAGAAGCCGAAACCCTGGCTCAAAAGACCGGAAAATCTATTCGGCGCCCTGGCGCTCCATCTAAGTCTAGGCTTTAGGCCGATGTCAACGTTATTCGTCCTAAGGAATATTGGGATTACGAGTCCCTCACTGTCTAATGGGGGTATTATTCTTCGTATTCTCCCTCTATCTACGAAGCCTGTATTTTATACGTATTCTTACCCGTATTTTGTTTTGTTTGCGTTTTTTTTTTTTGTTTCAATGCTTAGAATTTAGCTATGTACTGCTTCTGAATTCAAATCGTAGGGTTTTTAATTTTTATTTGTTTTATATTGGCTGGAATATTAGGCCAAGCTTAATTGGTTGGCTGAAAGATCGTAAAAAGTTGGTTAATTAATTGATTTGAGTACTGTTTTAGCAGGGAACAGGATGATTACGAGGTGGTGAGGAAAGTTGGAGGAGGGAAATATAGTGAGGTTTTCGAGGGGGTTCATTGTACGGATAACGAGAAATGCATTATCAAGATTCTTAAACCGGTCAAGAAGAACAAGGTTTGTTCCCGTTGCATTGTACTGCTTCAATCGATTTTATATGTGTTTATGTTTAATTAAAAATGACTGTTTGGAATGCAGATTAAGAGGGAGATTAAAATACTGCAGAATCTTTGTGGAGGGCCAAATATTGTGAAGTTGCTGAATATAGTTAGGGATCAGAAATCGGAGACTCCGAGTCTTATATTTGAATATGTGAATAACACAGATTTTAAAGTGCTTTATCCAACGCTGTCTGATTATGATATTCGATATTATATCTATGAACTTCTGAAGGCAAGTAAATGATTCGCTTCTTGCTTTATTTCTTTATATATGCTTATTGTCATTGAAATTGAAAATGAGATGTATATTTATAGGCCTAAAAGCATGTTACCATTTGTCTCGAAGCTTTCGTTGTAATGAAAGCTTGAGTTCAAACCTAGATGATTAGGTTAGGGGTCATGGTGGAGGATGAGAATGGTTCATTTGGTTCTGGAACCAAGCTTCTGGGTCAAAGAAAGAAAATTGTATTTCTGTTGTTTAAACTTTAAACTAGATATGTATGTAATGATTTTTCTTTGCAAGTCATCAAATGTTGTTTTACTTTTTGTATAAATCAAGAAGGGTATTAAGACGGTAGTGTAAATGTTGTGGAAATTATAGGCCTCATTCATATCTTGTATAATACATGCTTGTGGAGCTGGATTATTAGCTTTCTCAATAACATTGACCCAGTTTAATCTTTGGCTCTAGTTTCTAAGAAATATTTAGAATGTTCCTAGATGTATTTGCAATTTGTTGAATATTTTTGGAAAGAGATTATTATTGGCTTCTGTGATGAAAATTGAAGTGTATCTAAGTGATGGACCCAAGGTTTTGAACACTCTTATTGTCTGAGAATATACCTACACAGTTGCTCTAGTTCTCTCTACTTTAAATTGAAGTATCTTATATGAGCATGCATGCCATAGATTTGGAAGTAAGTAAAAGCAATTGGATGACCTGGTTGTGCTTTTTATTATGTATATATTGTGTTTGTAAGTACTTATGAATATACATCTGTAATGTCAGGGATATAGTCATATTTTTATTTTAAGGCTGCTTGCGCATGTTTATTTGCCATGGATTCCAAAAATTTTGGTATCTCTGGACTTTGTTTGTTAGATAGATCTTTTTACAATGTGAATTTCGATTTTTTTCCTCTTTTCTTTGGAAAGAGAAAAGATGGTTCAATCTTTTAAATATTGTGAGCTTTTATTTTAGGCATTGGATTATTGCCACTCACAAGGTATTATTCACCGAGATGTGAAGCCCCATAATGTGATGATTGATCATGAGCAGCGGAAACTTCGTCTTATTGATTGGGGCCTTGCAGAGTTCTATCATCCAGGGAAAGAATACAATGTTCGGGTTGCTTCAAGGTTTGTTTCCCTTTTGGCATTTTTTCTTTAAAGTTCTCTATTGTTCAAGTGGCTGGCCATATTTCGTTTTCTTCTCCTTTTGCAATGATCTGTTTTATTTGACATCCTTTTGATTGCACCAAACTTCTTATCTGTCTTAAATATAACATTATCGAAAATTAACTATTTATTTTGTCATAGCTTTTTTTAACTGGATAACTTACTTCTGGAAATGGTAATGGAAGTTGATTTAAATAAAATTATGGTAACTGGTATAAATTATTTATTGAAAATTTTGCTTCCTACAGTTAGTTGACTTTGAAGGTAAAAGGCTTTTTCACTTGTTAATTCCCAGTGTTGTTTAAATTTATTAAATACATCTGGGAAACCTACATGAGATAATTCAGGTCAAGAATAAGAGAAGTGGGTGAAGTTCAGTGCTTGGTATTGTAGCTTGTACTTTAACTTGAAACTTCAAAAATTAGAGTTGAATAGCAGAGGGTGTGTAGGCTATAAGCAATCACCAAGACTGCATTGCTTATTGCTTCTTGTACTTGGTTTGAGGAAATAACATGTAATTCTAATACAATGTAACATTGAAAATTTTAAAAGTAAAGTTAGAAGAAGAAAGATAGGGAATTAAAGACTTAGTATGTTTTGGAAATAAAAAGGACAAAGGGTTGGAAGGAAGGGGGGAGATGTATAAGAATTCCTATTAAGAGCAGTAGAGTGCATTGTTTTTTATATGACTTCCTGTTACTTATTCTAGTTCTGACAATATGTTAGTTTAAGGGTTTTAATACATATTAGAAATAGGTGCTTTTTAGTGGATATCATATTTGTTTGCATGTCACACAATTCTCATTACTATATTTTATGCATTACTTTTGGTTCCTTTATTGCTTCACTTCTGGTTTGCAGATATTTTAAAGGTCCTGAACTCCTTGTTGATTTGCAAGACTATGATTACTCTTTAGACTTGTGGAGCCTTGGTTGTATGTTTGCTGGAATGGTGAGTACTACATTTGGATTATTTTACCTTTTTAGGCTTAGATCACTTCTTCGAAGGTAGGCTTTCATTGTCCTTTCCCTGGCATTTCATATATCGCATTCTCCTTGTGTATATTTGTGGTGTTATGCAAGTAGACCTGGACATGTCTTTTGGAAAGCCTGATCATCATGATGTCTCGGCTCAAAAGCTGCCCTCAATATATGGTGTCATTGGCAATCAGGCTACTGGATTTGTTCCTCCCAGGACCCCTTTGAATTTGTTCAAATATTAGTGTCCTACATTTTTATGGGGTAGAATATTACCATTAGATGAGCATATCTTGATCTGCTTGCATATTGATCCATGGGTGGCAGATAGCAGAGGAGGATTGAAATTTGATATATCGCCAAGATATTCGATGCTCTCTCTCGTGAGATGCTTTTTTAAAGGGTTGTGCTATACAGATATTCCGAAAGGAGCCATTCTTCTACGGGCGTGATAATTATGATCAACTGGTCAAGATAGCCAAGGTATGTGAACTGGATTTTTTAAGTAACACTGAACTGGCAGAACTGTATTCCATTATGTACATGCCAATCTTGTAATGACTTTATTTTGTTGTTGAGGCTTGTGTAGATATTCTTTTCCTATTCATTATTGTAATATTGGTGCTGTTTTTGAAAAAATACCAGACTTCTATTATGCATCACGGAGGTCTAGGGAGAGTGAGAGAGTCCTTTCATTGAGTGTTTAAAATTGGATTTGTTTGGGATATAAAAATAATCCCTAATAGTTCTAAATAGCTTCCTTCTCTTTTGCTGCAATAGGTTCTCGGGACAGATGAATTAACTGCTTATCTTAATAAGTATTGCATAGATTTGAATCCACATCTTGCGGCCCTTGTTGGGAGGTTGGTATATAATGTCTTAGTCAGATTGATGCTGCAGAAGTGCTGTTATTTTCTGTTGAGAAGTATATTCTCTTCTTGATACAGGCATAGTCGCAAACCTTGGACGAAGTTCATTAATGTTGAGAATCAACATCGGGCATTACCTGAGGCTGTTGACTTCCTTGAAAAGTTGCTTCAATATGATCATCAAGAAAGGCCAACTGCAAAAGAAGCAATGGTAAACTCCTGATGTTTATGAACCTAATGAAGAATACCCACTGTTTTTGCTGGACACAGCTTTCGGATAAATTGTATAGCCATTGGATTGTCTGTCTGTGTGCATTTAAAGACACCTAGTAGTAATGGAGTTATCTTTTAATGTGACCTTTATCTCGCCAAGGAAGTTCCCTAATTGGATGCTTTTATCATAATGCAGGCTCATCCTTATTTTGACCCAATTAGAAACGCAGAAAGCAGCAGAAGTCGTAGCTAGCATGCCAATTTCATGAGTGCATGGTGGGATCCTGGCTTTGTAGTCTGACCGAAGATTATTTGTGTCGTGGTTGAGCTAGCAGTTAAGAAGTCTTTCAATGTCTCTGATTTTTCTGTCTCCCCAAAGGGAAATTTTAGTTTATTCCATCTTTCATGTTTGTCCTAATATTGATGGTAAATCTTGTGTTGTTCTTCAGATGAGAACAATTCCTAAATCTTATTTGAGTATGCTCGTTATTACCGAGCTACATATCTGATCGTCGGCCTCATTGTTTTTTGCATTCATCTGGTATTTTTTTTTTTTTTTTTATCATGGGTTCTTTTGGTTTTACATAGGTATTATTAGCTCATGGGTGTCGGCCCATTGGATATAAGTTGGGCCGCTGCCATTTTTTTCCCTGGATTAGTTCTTTCATTAGGTCGAGCCTCAGCTCACTATCTTCATAGAATGAAAGAAAAATTAAAAATTAAAAACAAAGACAATGGCGAAAAATGAAATTGTAATTCAGTGGTATAAAATATTAAAATTCCACTGAGTTGCAGTATGTTTATGGTAGTAATTGTTGAATGAAAACTCGATAGGATATTTTAACTATTATTATATTAATTACCCATTTATCATACAACTGAAATTTATTTTTGCACATAAAAGCAAAGTATTGCCAATTTATATGGAAGAAAAGGAAAAAAGAAAGGAGAATTGAAGATATTTCTTTTTTCCATGAATATATCTAGAAATTTTAATTTGAAATTTGACCTTCATTTATTATAAGATATTTTTACTTGAATTATTCTCCTTTTGAAAAGAAAATGAAAAAAGCTTGTAGTTATAAATTAAGGCTAATAAGAGAAAGTGAGATTTTTTTTTTAAAATTTTCAAACAAGTCATGAAACAATTAAATATATGCAAATAACAGTGTTGATGGGATGAAAGGAGTACTAATATTTTGGAATATAAATAAAGACGAGAGAATTATATGTTATCAATAAGAATAAACTCACATTGATCGAAAATGTGTCTCTTAGCCCTTTAAAGTAGTTTAAATTTGCTATTAGTTACATGATCTATTAATAAATATTACATTCTTAATTTTAATGATCAAAGATCAAAATCTAGCGTATGTCTAATAAAAAAAATTTTGTTTAGGCTCTGAACTTTTCCCTATGGTCTAAAGTCTGGTGGGGATCAAATTGGGCTCTCAAAATGTTGAGCTCAAATTGAAGAAATGAAAGATGTTGCCAAAATCTTATTTGCATTAACATTATCGGAATCTGAAATTTGCCTCAAAGTATTTTATTGAACAGGAATAAGAAAGCTAGTTTCATAGCTTTACTTCTTTTCACTGCCCCGCCTATTATAATCTGTGCTTACCTTTCTTAGTTGTTTATATCAACCAACGTGCACTGTAACAACAGTAAACCAAAACTTGCCCTAGCTCAGGCTTAGTTTTTATTCATTAATTTTTGCAAATATATTTCCTTTTTTCAGGGATGGCTTGATTACTTTGGAATTTTGGCAAATTGGGATCCTATTTTTAGTTTTAGATTGGATATTTTTGCATGATACCACAACTTTGGTTGAGAAACTTGGCAACCTAAACATTCATTTTGTTTTCTTTTTACTGGCTGCAACAATGAAAAAGCTAGAGCCTCCACCTCGCAGGGAACAAAAGGTGGGCAGTGAATCTCTCTTACAAATCAATTCCCAGGCTATTCAAGAAACCTCATTCCATTTGCTTGAAAAATACAAGTGGTAAACCAGCTAGAAAAGTCGGTTCTAATCTCCTACTGTCATTTGAGACAATTTTATAAAGCCAGACAAGGGCATGCTCCAGTTCTGCTAAGCGCATCCTGAACTAAGATAGTGAATGTCTCCTACTTCTGGAAGGGGTGGACTTTGTTTCTTCTGCATTAACTGATCCAGGGCTCTCTGATGTATCAGAGCTGCTAATTTCACAATTTCTTTCCTTACCTGACCAAAGTTTTGAGAAGATCTTTGACATGACCAAACCTTTCATTCTACTAGCGGCAACCTTTTCGACATCACTTTTGGCAGCATCATTTCCGTTTCTATCGCTGCCACTGCTGCCTAATCTTAGAGAAGCAAGCTCCCCTTTCAAAGCCTTGATATCCTCAGCTTTTGGTAGAGAATCCCAATCCTCTTCGGTGTTAGTTGTAGTGGACCTTGAGCTGCCATGAGACCCTCCAGGAAGAAGGGCTTTAACGGACCCTGGAAGATCAAGCGTGCTATTGCCAGCAGATACTGTAGCTCTTACTTGCTCAAAGAAGAGGACCTGCACAACAACACGCAACGGGAGCCTCTCATTTTGCACAGCATGCATGCAGGCCTCAGTTGACAGCTTCCTGCAGTCCATTAACCTGCAAATTCTCTTTCTCTCACTCTTACTGATTCCAGGGTGCTCCTGTATTGAGAAGAAAAAAAACTAGTTTTAGTGGTTAGTCTGAAATTAATAGTATAGCTCTTATAAAAACACATTTAGTCAATTTAAACTATATTTTGTTTTAGAAATAGTTCAACTTGATGTACAGGAATGAAGGAAAGAGAGAAACGATGGAATTTCCAATGGTAAAAACCAGAGATGAGATTCTTAGAAATTACCTTCAGATACATGTCTATGGCACGGTAAAGTCCATCATGAGAAGGTCTTGAGAAGCTTGCTATATTTTCAGCAAGATTGACAAATTTTGAAAGAGGTAAATCTGGATCTCGTGCAATTTCCGCTAGGTAACCATCAATTAGCTTTGCTACCAACACTTTAGAAGCATCTGGTCCAAACTTGGGGCTTCTGCTCTCCTGGAATTCATTTTCAGTGGGGTCAGTTTGTGAACCGTGAGTCACAAACTCCTCAACTAAGTTGTGAACTATGTCAACATCATATATTATTGCTTCTCCAGCTGGAGCTTGAATTAAAAGATCAGTCACTGTTGCCTCTGGAAGCTGCTGACCAATTCTCCTCATCAACTCATTCCTTTCCATTTCTCCACAATCCAACAAAATTGCTGCTTTTAATAATCTAAGCAAGAAGCTACAAGAAACAGTTCCCTTCTCAGTGGGCAGCAGCCACAGAATGGTCTCCACCAATGACCTATACTTTATGAAATCATTATTCTGGGTCATACCCTTACTAAAACCAGGCAATCTTCTCAGGGCGTATGCGTTTAGGGCTTCTCCAATTACATCACCAGAAACTCTGCCTTTTGTTTTAATTGTTGTTATCACACGCTTGTATAAATCAGTGTGAAGCTCACAGAGATCTTCTACCCACCAGTCCGTTGGAACCATTTGTGGTTGTCTTACACCATTCCATTGTGGACTATTTCCATTCTCTGATGGGAGCTTTTTCCTATTATAGGAGTATGACCATTCCACCTTTGAAGCATCAATTGAAGCCTTGGAAGCTATGGAATCAAGGCAATGGCTGACCACCTTTAATTCCTCAGACCATGGAAGTAGAGATTTTGTTGTTTGAAGAACAATGATAGAATCTTTCCAGCTCCTGCATATACTTGAATTCAGGAAGACATCAACCTTATAGATAAGGTTTCCTTTCTCAACAGTTTCATACATCTCAAGGTATTCTGCCGCACATCGAGCTGCGACAACATTGTATGCATTGAGAGTGATTGTCATACCATAACAAAACTTAGCACATATTTCAAAAGCAGCAGGTCCACCAGGTATATCCTGAATGTGGATTTCATCACTGTTCTCATCATTTGATGTTGCAACCAGCTTCTGCAAACGTGCACTTCTGGATAACAAGGGAAACTACAAAAACATCACACTTATAGATGTTAGCAACCAAAAAAGTATGGGGAACTAAAAATAATTGCTATATAGAGAAAATTAAACTTATTTGCCTGGTCAACAAGTTTGGACCATTAAGAGACACAATTATGATGATTAGATTGACAGAAATAATCCATGCACCAGTAGGAAATTGTGTGAAACAAAAGTCCTAAATAAGATGTCGACCTATCAAATAAACTTAGCAATGTATCCTTTGCATGATGACAGATTGATATAGGTTCTTACCTTATGCAGATAGAATTTCACATCCCCAACGTTAACGACTATGTCAGTTGCTAACTCAGTCGCAACATACCTGACATAAATGTTTGTCCAGTCATGTCAGTAAAAATTAATGCACTAATAGTCACTGAAGTTGAATATCGGAAAATGTAAGCAGAATTAGGACAAAACTTTACAAAGAAAAACATTGTTAATATTCAATTCATAAAAATAAAAGTTTCATGAATTAGTCAAGGTCATTCTGTCTCTCTCTGTCAAAACAAAAAAAAGAGGAACAACAAACTAGGGTTTACACAAAGTAGTAGTTAAGTCACTACAATCATAACTCAAACCTAGTTAATTAACATTAGCATAGAATCAAAGTATCTTAAAATAGTAAAGGGTTTTGAGTTCAAAATTAAGCAACATGTTCGATCATTCCTGAATACATCTGAGAAATACATAACAAAGTTTAACACATGCTTGCCAAACATACTCTATTGATGTAGTTTTTACCCAAAACATAATTATTTCTTGTTCTTTTCTTTCAACAGAGGTTGATAATGATTGATTTCTCATATCTCTCTACTGTTACATGTTCTTTCAACTATCAATGTGGAAAATTATTAGGGAAAACTAGTGGTAGAGCTCTGTATTCGGGTATTACTTTGTGCTCAACCTCGAATGCAACCAAACAAGAAATGAATCTAACACTACAAGAAGAACTGGTATCTAGATATCAGAACTGAGGAAAGGGAAGCTACTTCAATCTTCAATAATAAATATGTGATCTATATGGCTAATGTAACCCTGATGGCTGATACTAAGCCGACCAGCTCATTTATGGGCATTTCTGAAAATACATTTGCTTCCTCTGGTTTTCGAAAACACAAAACTTTTAGTATAATAATTTGTACCCCAATATTACTCATGATGTATCAAAAATCATTCCACCTTAAAAATATGATTTTTACGATAAGATTTGGGCATTTAGGGCACTTCTCAGTGCCAGATAAGAAAAACTCAGAAAGATAATGAGTTTAAATTGTTAGCTTCACAAAGGAAGATCTCAAACTCACCTGATATTGTCTCCATCAGTCTGAAATGAATCAGGCTTAGATCCCAGTTTCATAAACTTCATCTTGTTAAAGAAAGATCGAAACCTCTTCTCTTTCTAACACTCAAAATTTCACCTCCTCTTAAATCTACAAATATTCCAGTGGCACAAATCAGTACCAAAATCACCACTAAAGGAAATCTCCACTAACTAAGCTTCCTAATGTTAAAATATCTCAATTTCAATCTTTGGAAGGGATGGATCATGTGCATTTCTTAGTATGACCTAATCTTTCACACAAAATGAGGCCACATAAAGGGAGAAAGGAATCAATGGAGAGAGTGCGATTTTGCAAAGTGGTCACTTTGACTGAGAAGAGACCCTAAAGAAGTGGGTTGCTTCCTCGGTTGGTAACAGAAAGCAAGGACTCCGGGCTGAAAAGGTCAGCTGGGCAACACACACTCTTAAACATATATAATTCTCAAAACCAAAGACAACCCCACTTGCTCAAAACTGACACCACCGCCCTTCCCTTATTTCTTTATCTTATTCTCTTTGTTTTTCTATTTTCAATGGATCTCTCTCTCTCTCTCTCACCTACAACATTACCAAGAACTTTTCTGGTCCACAAAAATCTCTAAACCCCAAAACCCAGAATGCACATTCCTTTACAACTCTTCTGTTAAGCCTATAACTTTTTACTCCTTTGCTTAAGCTAGAAAACCTGCAAGAAAAAGGAACAACATTTCTCGGTGTAAGTTGAAGAAGCCAACAAATTAGTGAAAATGAAGCATCAGTTTTGAAGGTTTCTAAAAGAAAAAGTTACTCAACTAATCATCAATTCCAATAAAATTGCTCCATAGTAGAGCGGAGAAACTGGTAAATTTTATTATCATAATCGAAAATTCAGAAATGTGACACAGATATCAATTCAGGAACATACTCTTTCACCAAAATAAAGCACTAACAATTGAACCACAAGAATTCATGCTCAGCTCGAAAATCACAAGTATACAACCCCAAAACATCTCTACTTAGCTGTTTTGAGACCAAAAACAACGAAAAAACTTCAAATAGACCACCCAAAAAAATGGCATCACATCAACAAGATCATAACTTACACTGAATTATTCCTCTGTGGTAAAGAACAAAGAAAAAAAAAAGACTGAATCCACCTCAAACTGAAACAAAACAAAGTGCTTGACAACTTGATTAAAAAATAAGCCAAATCAAAAACATGAAGAAGAGAAGTGAAGCTTTAGAATCTGAGCATACCTTGGAGGGGTCACTAGAAAAGAGCGTTAGAATGTCCCAAAGAAGCTCTCTTTAGTCTCACTCTTCCAAGTACGAAGAATCCAAGTCTGTCATCAATAGACAAAGAGCAAGCAGGATTTTATTGTTCAGTGCATGAAGCAACCACTATTATCTTTTTAGCCAGGACACACCAAAGAAACACCGAACCAAAAAAGAAGCCCCACATAGGATAAAAACTACCCAACCAAATATCACATCAAAAAGATGAGCTAATCCTCATCTTTTGACACCTATCCCTTCCTTCCCCCTCTTAACATTTCCCACAAAAAGCCAAATCTCAGGATGTTCCCACTCTCTCTCTTTCCTCTCCTTCGAATCAGCACCACACCGCCCCCAACCCCCACTGCCACCACTTCAAAATACTTACCCTATTATCCCACATATATTCTGATTTCAACCCGCACCAACTCTCACTCTAAAAATCCAAACTTTTTTTAAATATATTAAAAAACCAAACTTGACCACTGTTTTGCAGAAAAAGCGTAAACCTTTTACAATTCACCTTTGTAAAGCAAGACACTTTGTGAACGAGCAAAAAACAAAAGCAAAAACAAAGGACCCCACCAAAGTTATCAATTTCAAGTTTTCAACCTTTTGTTTATGGGTTTTGGTTTCACTTGTCTGCATTCTTACAATGAAAACGCACGCCAATTCTGACAAGAACAACTTTGCTGCTCCCTTTATCAAATACAAACTGACTTTCACTGGGTTTTAGAGTGGTGTGAGATGAAAACAATCCCCTGTTTACTCGACAACGACCCATCCATCCCCATCTCGTACTTTGATGATAATGGCATCCATCTTATTTCATTGGTTTACTCTTTTAATATTTTTAAATTAAAAAAATACTACTACTAATGCTACCAAGTATCGAAAAATTATACGTAGTTGTTGTTTTGTCGTGATATGTTCCAAATTATCGTGGATATTGTGATATGGGCCTGGGCCCATTTCTGGGTTTCACGTGACCTCGTTATGGCCTTTTCTTTGAACTTTGACACCTTTCACTTTCACGCCTGCTTTTTCCCCTTTTTTTTTTTTTTTTATAACCAAAATGTTAAAGACACTAATTTTTTTAAAAGAAAAAAGTCTTCCTAATGTATCGGATCCAGTGGAATTTCGGATATGATTCAAATATGAAATTATAATAAATTTAAATAAAATGATATTACGAATATGATTAAATTAAATAATAATATTATATTTTATATTTGTTATATACAAAAAATTAAAATAAAATAATTTAATTATTAATTAAATTTTTTAAAAAAATTATATAATTTAAATTATTGATATAATTTTTAAAAATATAATAAAATATATAAACTTAATTTATGAATTAAAAATAATTTTTTTATTTTAAAAAAATTAAATCATTTTATATTAAAAAAATGATAATCATCTTTATAATTTTATCCATAAATCAAATATAATATAATAATTTATCGTATTATCATATCTATTGTCCTACGCATTAAACATCATCTTATAGAATAAGATGTTCTACCAACTAGAGATTTTCTTTAGATAATATTTTTATGTTAATTATGATATAAAAACCGCTATAACAAATGGTACTACACCTTCATATTTTATTGTTGAACCCCGTGAATTGGGTGACAATTGTTGGTTGTTTGCTTACTAGTTAGTAGTTACCATGTTCATCTATTAAACCGAAACCTTGTTTTTTGGGTTTATTTGTAAATTATAAATATACCCAAAACTTGGGTAGAAACAAGGTAGTTAAGGTTAGTTGAAACCAGGGCGAAGCCAGATACAAAGTAAAGATGAGGTCAAATAATGAAGTTAATATAAAAAGAAAGGTCATACTGCCGAGCTATTTTTTTTGTTTAAGATTTTTTGGTGTCTAATAATCACTTTAAATTTCGATTAATTTAGATTCGAGTCAAGTCGAATCCTTTAAGTGAATAAACTCTTTTAAGTTCATTTTTTTTATTCATAAAACTCAAAATCGAGATTTTATTTAAAAAAAATTGAATTCTTTATCACTCGGATCAATAAACGTTAGTATGCTGCTGAATTATTATATTATAATGGTGTAAAATTAAAAAAAATTAAAATCTCTTATAAGGATTAACGTGTTTCATTGAGAACCTTAACGGAGATATTATGATTATATGTTCTCTTTTCGAGTTCAAATTTTCCTTATTTAAATGTGAAAAAGTAAATTTAATTGATGTTAACATAAAGTTAGGAGATTGGTATAATGAAAACTAATAAGGTAAGCATCTTTTTTATGTAAGATTTTGATTACTTGTTCATTTAAAAATATTTTTCATTGATTTAATAAGTCTTGGAAATCAGAACAGCAGTGGTGGGAGCTTGGAGAGATTAATTCAATGAATGGATAGTAAAAATTTGACATAAAAATTCATCTTAAATATAGTAGTTGATTAAACTTCATGCTAGCGGACAAAGTGTGAACATATTTTTTTTATATGCAAAAAAATTTATAATCTACGGATAGAGAAAGAAATAATAAGTATAATTAAAAATTGAATATCAGATCTATAAGAGGTTATTTTTTAAAAATAATTATATAAATTAATTAAATTAAACTTCGGATTTGATCATTATTTTTTTTTCTTATCCAATTTTTTATTCCCTTCATCTCACATGCAATGCTCCAATCCACTCAATCCAATGACACTAAAAATTTGAATAAAAAATTTATATAAATTTGCTTAGATTTTATCACATTCTTCTTTTGAATACATCCCCAAAATAATCCTTAGTTTTACTAATATTATAGTTGTTGTTTACATAAAATTTTGCATCAAGAATCTCATCAGTTGCCCACAAACTTCTAAATTGCTTCTTTTTAATTCTATTTAGACTTTTGCTTTTGGTATGCACACCCTGATGCAGATTTCCTGCTGAAAACTTGCATCAGCAGAATCTATGCAAGGTGGGATTGATTCTTGGAGAAATGTCTGGACTCTTCATTGAATCCAACACAAAATTGGGTGACAAAAATAAAACTCTTTCGAAAATTCCTACTATCAACAATAATTGGTCTGTTACAACCAAACGATTAGAGCACTAACTTAGGGTACATAGCAAAATGTGTATAATCTTCTATTCTTTCATAAATTATGTTTTTAAAATTTCATATTATCATCAATAGAGATAATGATTTTTTTTAAAGAATTTTGTTTAGGTTTTGAACTACACATTGCATGATCCATCTTTTAAATCCTGGTCTCCTCAAATTTAAATATAAAACAATGGAACGAAAAAATCTTTAAGTCTTAACTGTCCAGATGGTACCCCAACTTGTTGACAAATATGTCGAAATTTTCAAAAGAATATCATTATTCATGAAAAATCATGCAAGCACAACCAATTTTTGGTGATGTGCCCACTTGAAGAGAAAGGCAGGATTGTGGAAGTTAATTTGTGTTTGGCCTATTTGATCCATACCATGTGGTTTGTTGCAAAATAGAACAGCCTTTGCCCCTACATTATCTAAATCCTAGAAACTTTTCTTTCTGAGGAAAACCTTCTTTCCAGCTCAATGGAAAATTCCTGACTTCAATGAGGGGACCAGCCAGTTCCACCAATAGATTTAATGATTCCAAGTCGAAACAAAGACAGATTCAACCTTAGCTAGAAAATTTAATGTGTTCTCCAACTGCCTTTGTTGTAACAAAAGAATGGTTGAACTAAAGAAGAAATTAATGTGTCCATTTACAACTCATCCGAAAGGCCAAAATGACTAATTTATTGCAGACAATTGATAAAGCAGGAGGCTTTGTGTTACTCAAATTTAGGTAATCATGGCACGTCACATGGCCACGGATTCTCATGCTCTTGTTAAACTCATTGGGAGGTTGTTTAGCTTAAAATTTTGTGAGACAGAGGACCATGAACCCTAATCATGATGATATATGGTCAATATTGATTCTAAGTTTGATAACTTAAAAAGAAAGATCTTCCTGACATGTTTGTAAAGATAAGTTTGATGGGTTTAGCTTTCTAGATTCAATGTTTCAATGTAGAGGAAGAAAACCAAAAAACAAATGAAAAAATCTTTGGTAATGGCGGTTCAATGAACTTGCAAAAATTGACTGTTCTCAGTTCATGCCGTTTATTCGTTTCTGATAAATCATTCTTTCCGAAGATCTCATGTCACATGCAATTTGGCTCTTTGGATGTAATTTTCTGCAGGATAGGAGTGATAAATATGATTAATATTGATCATGGTCATCACTCCAAAATCAAATTGGAATCTTTTTTACATCTAAACTACAATTATGATCAGATTCATTCACCTAATTGGACTAATTAAAGAGATGGGTTTCCATTTTTATGTCCTTAAATAATCTCATATCCAGCTAGCAGTTAAAAAACTTGATCTGCAGTTGATTGTTCATAGCCCAAACTAAATTTTTATTGAAAGAAGAAGAACAGATCCCCACTAATAATACTCTTGACATGATAGTTGCATGTCACCTAATCTATTCTTTGAGTTTCTTTGGAGTGGTGGTCCTTCTTCCGGAGAGCTATGCTTTTCCTTTTACAGCTCTACTAATTTAAACTTTCTTCATTGCCAAACTACCAACCTTGAAATCATGATCTTGATTCTATTTTCAATAGCTAAGTACATCCAACCCCTAATATAAGCTCCTCCAACTCACATGAATCATGATATCACTTATGCATAAAATTATATCAAAATTAAATTCCACGTATATCATCATCTAATCCGAAAATATATATCAAGTTGATCAAAAAATAGTTACAGGTCCCATATTCATCGATTCTCCACCAAGATCAAGAAATTATTGTAGGTTGTAAATTTTAATATATGTATGTGTATCTGGCGTATTTAAAAGAAAAAAATACACGAGGGAATCTAGTGATGAGAGTGAGGACAGAGTGCATCATGAGATGCTTCTGCTGTTTATGATGGAGATGCTGAACACAGCAGGCTTTTGTATGAAAGAAACAACAACTGAACATGAACAAGGCAGGTTCAATCCATTATCTTGATCCCCTCAGCTGTCTGATTGGGCTGCAGTCTCATAGCTGTCTGCCAATCTGTAGGTAATAGGAGCATTTTTTGTGTCTAACTTCAATGTCTGAAACAACATTGTTGAAACAGAAAGCTCAAGCTGGACCGTTTGGGACAGTGAACCGAGTTATGAACCTACTATTGCGGTTCTGGCTTGGGTTAGCAGAAGTAGAAAAGCCCAAACTTAGGCCCTTCTTTAAAGCCCTGATTTAGGGCCATTTCTTTATCAGAAAACTTTCGTTCTTTGATCTCAAATGAAAAAAAAAAAAAAAATTCATGGTTGAGATTGACCTAACAGGTTGTTGGTTTCCAAGAAGCAACAGCGTGCATCACATTTAGTGCCTAAGTGGACTTGATCAGCTAGAGAGCAAGTTTCAATTATGTCCCTGTCAAAGTCTTGATCCTTGCCTTGAATTATAACCTTGTTATTTAATGTTTGGGTAAGAAAAATTATCAAATAGGGATCCAATCAGGTTCCAAGGCCAACGTCCACAGTCTACCCATTCCCTTTGAGCCAGTTATTAAACCACTGAATATTATTTGCTAGTTTCTTTTTATTTAAAGAAATAATCAATATTTATGTTAAATGCAAATTTATTTCATCACCTTACCTATTGGTTCAGATTTAGAATTTTAGATCACGCAATATTTCTAACACCCAATGATATATACAGTCAATCATGAAGTATTAATCCGGTAAGACGAGTAATTTCTTTTTCTTTTTAATTAAAATTTGATTCTTATAACTGAGTATTTTAAGAATAAAATCTTAAATATATCAATATAAAAAAATATTTTTGCAAGAAAGACTTGGATTTTGGAAGTCATATCGTGTTAGCGCCATCAAAGGGAAAAATACAGATTTGACTAAACATTTGTAGATGTGCCGACCACGCAATAAAACATAGCCGAGCTCTATCCAAAGTTTTGGGTTAGGTATAGCATTTCACATTTGAGAACCATACATACATATAATAACCACAATCTCCAAATTATGTAGATTGGCCGGATCCCAGTGGGATCTTGAAATCGACTTTTTCATTGTGTCATTGGTGTTTCGTCATCATGACTCCCCCCCTTCTTTTTTTTTTTAAATGGATTAAGTTATATAAAGGAAAATCATATAATTCTTTTACTGAAGATATAAGTACAATTTTTACAAGTATTTACACTTGTACGTTTAAAATTATGAGACCGCCTTATATATCAACAGTTACTCTTTCCATTCAAATTATTATCCAAACTAGTTAATAAAACAATTTTGTCTTGAGAGAATTGATTGAAATGGTTCAGTTTAAAATATTTGAATTTTTAATAACGTATTTTTATATAAAATAAAAATAAAAATTATAGGTGTTGAAATTTAAAATTTAAATATATTAAATATTATTTTTTAAAAATAATTATATAAATAAACTAAATTAAATAAAAAAAATTAAATAAGCTCTCGAGTTCGTACTTTTCTTTCTTTTTTTAAGTGTTTTTCTTTCCTTTAAACAGAAAAATGCAACATCGTTGAAATTGGATTTCTTTTATAGGTTGTCACACTTTTTTTTAAATACGATGGGTTGCCAACAGTTTTAATAAGACATAAACAAGTAAAATTTAAATATTCGGTTAAAAGAATTTTACTAAATCTTAATTTAACCAAGCAAAAACTGACTGAAGCAAAATTTTTATAATCCCCTCAGGTACATAAACAATTCTACAACAATTAAACATCATTGGCACCCGACCTGAGTTCAACAGTCGGCGTGATTCATTCAACTAGAGCCAATTAGAGCTATTTATGTGGAGAGTTGCACCTAATTTGTGATGTATTGTCCATTTTAATTCGAAAGTCTTACAGTTTTATCTTATAAAAAAGATTTCATAAATTTAGGTTTAGATCTTTACATATATATCATTCATTATCTACATATTATTTTCTTTCAATGTAGGATACATCCAAGATCAGATCAAACGTTAGGATTCTAGAGTTGACTCTCCATAGAGTCATACCCAATTTAGGAGGTATTGTTCACTTTAACTTGAGAGTTTTACGGTTTTGTCTCACAAAAAACGCTTAATATATTTAAGTTTAGATCTCTACATATACATCATTTTTTATCCACATATTCTTTTAATATGGGATTGAGAGCGTTATAATTTATAAGAATTCTTTAGCCATACAGAAAGAGAAAAATAAAAAATTGTATGGGAAAGATTTAGATAAAAATTTTTAAGTGAAATTACGAAATTATCTATTAGAAATAATTAAATTAAAATTAAAATTAATAAATTGATGGATCTTATTACATATATTAAGAGTACAAAATTTAAAAAAATTTTAATATATATTTTTAAATAAATATTTTTAATAAAAATAGTGATAAAATTTTTATCGTTAAATAAGTATCGATCAAATTTGAATTATAAATAATATTTTAAATAATTTTTATATTGAACTCTATTAATTTATAAATTAAAATTTTTTTTATTAAATCAATTTTATAAATAAATTTTATAAATTTTACTTAAAAATTTTCATATAAATTTTATCCCGAAGAACATAAAAGAAACCCACAAGAAACTGCATTCTTCATCAGAAAATACATGGCAGACTTCATTAACGCTCAAGTCAGGCAGAGTAGTCACGCAGCCTCACAATAGAAGTTGACAACGCCAAATACTGAAATGGTAAAGGTAAATTTCAATGGCGTGGCAAAGTAGGGATGGCGGAATAGGTGTAGAAATTAGAGATCCAAATGCAGAAGACCTTGGGGCAGCTGTAATTCGAATGCATAATGTCAATGGTCCTTTCCAGGTAGAGGTCATTGCAGCGATATGAGCTCTGACATTTGTACAAGATATGGGTTTTTCAAGAATCATGTTAATACGAAACAAAACTTACGTTGAAATTTATGATATATTTTTTTAAACGGTTTAATAAAAATTTTAATATGAAAATTAATAATATATTAAAAATTTATTAAAAAATATTATTTATAACTCAAATTTAATGAATATTTATATAACAACAAAAATTTTGTTATGTTTTTACTAAAAATATTTATATCAAAATTTATTAAAAAATTTTAAAATTTTGTATACTTAATTTATATAACAAAATTTTTTAATTTTAATTTTGATTTAATCATTTTTAATAAAAAATTTCACAAATTTTATTTAAAAACTTCGTTTAAGTATTTCTGGAATAGAACGAAACAGCTTGATTGTAATTAAAAAATTAAAGGAAACTATTATAGAAGTCAGGATGAGTATGTCTTTGTTTTGAGCATGTTACATATAGCATATTTTAAGATATGAAAATATGATGGCTCATAAATTAGCAAATTATGGTTTACATATATTGTAACTGATGAGTACTGAATTAAGGAACGTCCTAAAATAGTTTTTCATTAACCATGTTAGATCAATAAAGCTCCATTTTCTAAAAAACAAAACATTGACATCCAAAAAAATCATAAACAATTAACGATGAACGTGCAGAAAAAAAAAAAAAAAAAAAAAAACAACAGCAAAGTCCACTCCAATCATTCGCCTAATCTAAATCTAATCTTTTACTGCAACATTCAACAAACGTGGCAGCTGCGGCGCTTTGCCGGTGGCGAAGGACTCTCAACCTCTTCATCGTGGCCGGAAGATTAATCTTTTTGGTCAACGTCATTATTACTTGGTTCCTCTGGTCCAGCAGGCAAATTCAAGTCAAAGTCACGTTGACTTTGGCTCGACGATTTACCACCATCGCTGCTGTTATTATTACTACCGCCTTCGTAGTGGCATCGCTTATGTCCTCCTAAGGCTTGACCTGAAGAAAACGTCTTGTAACAAATTGAACACATGTGAGTCTTGCCACCTGGGTTATTCATGGGAGGTGAATTTGTAGCCACCGAGGTTCTGCTGGCAGCAGCGGTGGTGGTGGTGGTGGTGGGGTGTTCATCCGTTCCACCAAGTTTCCTGTGGCTGGCCTTGTGTCCTCCTAAAGCTTGATACGATGGAAATGCTTTGTTACAAACTGTACACTTGTAATTACTGAGGGAGTTTTTGGCTGCAGTTTGAGGGCTGGTTCTGGTAGTGGTTCCCTGAGCCAGCATGAGAAGGCAAACAGCTAAGTATTCTTCCTCTGTTTGTGGGTTTTCAATTCTGGGTCGTTTCATGCTTTTTCTCTTTGTCCATGGCTCAACACAGTGGAGGTCAACATCGTCATGGTGAATCAATAGAGGTGCTGAAGTAGGAGAGTTCAACGTTTCAAGAGCCATTGAAGAGATAGTTTTGGATGGCTTTTTTCTCTTGGTATTGAGTGAGTGTTTAAGTGAACAAGAAGGAAAGATTTTTATATGGAGAGGAACTAGAAAGAAAAGAGAAAGACAAAAGGAAAGTGCTTGGTAATTAAGTAGACAGAAAGAGGGGGAGAGAATTTGCAAACAGCTAAAGAAAGTTTACTCTTCTGCGATGTGTTCGCACGTCTGATCAAGTCGTCAGTAAAGGTGATGTGGGTTGTTATGGTTATAAAAATGGGGCGTTGTAGTAATGTCAAATGGGGTGAAAATTGTGGGATGTCTGCTAAGTGGTGACTTAATTATGTGACTGTTTCCAAGTCAAAAACCAACAACTGCTCTTGTTCAACTTTCTTGCCTTTTCAACTTAGAAACAACGTTGTACATAGCAGAAGTGGGCTAGTGGGAACTTGACTTGCCTTTGCGGCGGTTTGCCTTTTGCTGGTGTGGCGTATTACTTGGTAACCGCGACTTTGCCGTTCCGCGAGTCACTTCGAAATTACTTGGATGCCCACGTGTCTATCAAACAGTGAGTGATGATCGGGTTCGTGCAGCAAACCGCGACAAATTGAGCAATAGGTAGGCTAGCTGCTCGACATGGACTACTTTGCGGTTCCGCGAGTCACTTCGAAATTACTTGGATCCTTCATCTAGCCCACGTGTCTATTAAACAGTGAGTGATGATCGGGTTCATGCAGTGAACCGCGACAAATTGAGCAATAGGTAGGCTAGCTGCTCGACGTGGACTACTAACCATGACATAATTAGCTCAGCTCAGCACAAACCTGATGATGAGACGTGGCTAGGACAATTTCAGGGCACGCCAGCACTAATAATTTCAGTTAAGTGAAATTGCTTAGCCTCGGTCATTATCCCATTAACTAAAAGAATGCAAATCAAGGGCCAAATACTCAAAATCAGTGATAATAATTAGCCCAATAATCAACAAAAAGTTTGTGTTACATAATTATAAACTAAGATATCCAACATATCAATATTGGAATGCTTGCGAAGTAGATGATAGTAAGAGAAAAGTTAAAGGCCATTGCAAAAAGGAGATTATTTTTTGGTTTTGTTTTGTTTCTTTAGGGCTTTTTATTAGCACCTTATACTTGGAACATATTACAAGTTGGTTGCTTGTTCGTTTAGTAATAATGTTATAATTTACGTATATTATTTATTTTAATTTTATTAAATTTAATAATTTTATCATATAAAATGTATCTTACACATTAAAAATTATATTAATACTTATATTTTAATATTAATTTTAGTATAAAATCCATATAACATTTATGATTATTTTTTAAAATTATAACATCTTTTTCAACTCAATGAAAATTCACTGATCTCAATAATACATCACTAATATCTCAAAATCAGCTCCTCTTCAAGACCATAGCACACAGCTAATGACTAGTGACCCGAGTGACCAAGTCATGCATGTTGTTGGTTGTTGCCGACGAGTTAATGATTCAATTCATGGGCGGCCATGTTATTCCGATCTTTTGTTCTAGTACTGCACCGCATGGCAGCTATGTTTTGCTACCATCGCGAAACAGAAAGGAACTTGATCGGGGCAAACTCCAATGTAGGGTTGAGTAAAAAACACGGAAAACTACCCGGTTGAAGCACCCACGCTAGCTGTCGCAACATAAAGGTTCAGATCAGATCATCCAACAAAAAATTTTATAAACTTGTTTTAGCGAACTGCATATGACTAGACACGTGTTTTCGGATAGGATCTATTGAAAAAGTTGGAACCAATACCCGAGGAATTAGGTCAGAAGCCACAGCATTGCCCGTACAGATCCAGATAAGACTTATATAAATTTTTTTTAAATGATGTAATAAAAATTTTAAATCAATAAATTAATAAAATTTAATGTAAAAATTAATAATATAAAAAAATTAAAAAAATTATTTAAATTTTAAATTTGATTGATATTTATTTAATAGTAAAATTTTTATTAATATTTTAATTAAAAATATTTATTTAAAAATATATATTTATTAAAAAACTTTTAAATTTTACATATTTAATTTATATAACAAAATTATATAATTATTAATTCTAATTTTTTATTTTAATTTTAATTTAATTATTTCTAATAAAAAATTTTATGAATTTTATTTAAAAAACTTCATCCAAATCTTTTCCTTCATATCCATCCCGAATGGTTTGTGTCAAGTAATAGAGGACACTAGTTAGGTAGGGTATCATATATATATATATATATATATATATATAAGTTCATAATAAGACAAATAAAAAATCCTTTTATTCGGGAGAATTATTATATCTGAATATTAATATAGAAAATTTCACGTCTATTAAAATTATGACAGAACTAATGTATTACATTCAAATTATCTTAATTGTCTTCTTACAATTTTAGACTCTATTTGGTTCATAAAAATTTAAAAAATGCATGAAAAAAATGAAGAAAAAGAAAATGAAGGGAATAAAATATCAAATCCTTAGTTTATATGGATACACAAGGAAATTGTTATTGCCATAATAATTTTCATTAATGTTACTATTATTTATAAAAATAATTGAATGGTAAAAAAATTAAACTAATCTGTTTTGAAAAAAAAAAAATCATTCTCAAGCATTTTTTCTTCTTCCTAACTTGGTTTGGGTTTGGACGATTTGGTTTTTAACATTTGATTTTGGGGTAAGCCCCACGCTTTGTCAATTTTTTGATGTGGTATTAGTATTAGAGTTTCAATGATTTGTTGATAGTTTTTGGTCTTAATATTTTTTCATACTAACTTGATGATGATTCTACTGAAATTAAGCAATATTTGATAGATAATTTGTTCATCAAATTATACGCTTTGATCTGTATTGTCAGGCCTTTTTCTCTTACTTTATTGGTTCTTTAAGATCACAAGGGGCCTTTTCATTGGTTAAAAACAGCAATCTTATCTTTGTATGTGAATTTGGATAACTTTGTGAATCAGACAGGTTACCTAGATGTCTCTCGCTTTATTCAGAACTCGAATCCTTTTCAATGCTAGAATGAGAATTTGGGTTATACAGAGTATAAACAGAAGATGGTAGCTGAAAATTATCAACTTCATACGGTTGCTTTTGTGAATTTATTTTCATCCTTCGAGAGGTTTAAATATTTAGCTCAGTTGATGGACTGTTAATTTGGTAGCTTGAATCTTTGCCTTGATACTCGGTTGCTCTCTTGTAAAAGCTCCTGTATTAACTGTTCAATTTAAGGTGTTTTGAACTGTTATGAAATATGAAAAAGGGCAGGTTATGGAAGTATGAACTATTACCCGAGAAAAAAGGAAAGTGTAGCCTTAAAACTCCAGGATAGTTCACAGTAAAGGATTTGTCTTGATGCAATGGTAGAATTACTCCACCTTTATTGTAACTGGCAAATCACAGTTCAAGTGCTGAAGAAACCTTATGAAGGGTAAAGCTGCATGCACTGGGCTGCCCGTTTTCTTTTACTATAACATGATTTATAATTACACTATTTGCCAGTTATTCCTCTAACCTAGACTTAGATAATTATAGTGATTAAAAGAATTTAGAGATGCTGCAATACTAGCAAATCAGACTTGGATGATTATTGTGAAGACTCACACATAAGCTTTAATGAATGAATGAATGAATATTAGAAGGAAAGAACGTTGTTAGAGCTATGACAGCAGAGATTGTCAAAACCTGGTCACATCAGCTTCAGTGGTTCACTGTTTACAGGTTTCTTGCACTACTATCTAGGAATTTCAAGAATAATCTCTTCGAATCATGTAAATGACAGCTTAGTTATTTGATGGCTAACATAAATTAGTGAATATCACTCAACTTTTAGGCATCTTGATGAACATATTGACGTTGGTTGAGCAAAGTTGGAAGCCTTTCAAATAAGCATTCCTAATAGACAATGGAAAACAGCAGGGAAACTACTTTATCGAGAAAATCCAGCAAAGAGATATGAAACAAAAGTGAAGAGATCAAACAAAGTTGTAAAATGATTAAAGCAAAAGGGCATCATATGTATAATCAGAATAAAAAAAAGCGTTTTGCAAATTTGTCATACTCATAGGATACCCCATTACTACAGTAGTTTCAGAGAAACATAATCTTAAGTGCTACTTGCTACATGCATTCTACTGAACTAATGACTAAGAAGAAAGGGAAAAAGCAGACAAATTTATCTTGCAATCAGACCCCACAAATCCTACTTTGTACTGAAACAAACCCAACATTCTCCATTTTAGCTGAGAACAAACCGACATTGAAGAAAACCTGAAACAAACATTAATGCACATTGTAATTAAGAACTCTCTTTAAAAGTAAGGCAAGATAGCAAAAACTTAAATGAGAAAAAAATATAGAACGTCAATTACTTGGGTCAGCATTGATAATCATAGCAGTGCCTCCAAAATTGCAAGTTCCTCCATTTCTCTTGGTTTTCTGCCAGTAGCTATTGAAAGGATAAGAAGCAAGAGCAACAATATTGCCTGGATAGAAACAGCTCCCATGTGGCATAATCTCTTCACAATCAGCCGCACCTTCACCACAAGCATAGTCCATTGCTTCCTGTAGAGTCTCCGCAGGAAAACTAGGCTTAGCCACACACCACAGCTTTTGCAACAACCCTGTCTCTGGTGCGGGAACAAAAGGTGGAGGCATCCGTGGAGCAATGGGGAAGGAAAAAGGTAGTGGAGAATCACTAGGGAAGGAAATTGGAGGTGGTGAAGTAGTAGGGTATACTGTGAGGGATGTGGCTTTTTGGCTGCATTGACAGGCACAGAGAAGCCAATCGATAAAAGGAAGGAAGACGGAGAGATTTCGGGCAAAGGGGTTGGCCTAGCTGGATAAGGTTTTACAAGCTTGGAATCCATGATTGAGGGCTTCCTACTCATGGGTTTTTTCTCTTTACTAGAGCATATCACATTGACCTTTGTAAGCTTAAAAGATGCAAATCTTTTCATGAAATCCAGGTGGGAAGATAGTAAAGTCAAACTTTCATGTAAAGAGGAAGAAAAATTAGGACGAGGGCTAATGGAGTAAGTAGAGTTTGTATTTTGGAAAAACTTCAGTAGGGGACCGATGAATTTCTTAGCCAAATCATCACTAAAAAGAGCAGAGTTTTGGTGCAAACAACTGGAAGAAAAAGCTACCGACACTTCGATATCTTTCTCTAAACCCCACCTTGCAAGTGAGTGATAAATGTTCTTAAGAGAAGGTAGTAAATGACCAAAGCTGTCTCCCTGATCCTTTTGACAAAGAATAGTATCACCTACAAGAAGGTCAGTGATTTTGGTAGCTAGAAAGTGAGTTAGAATATGGAGCCTAAGCCAACTGCCAGCCTTCAAAACACTGCTAGAAACCTCGCTGAGGACATTGCCATTCACAGGAACT